GGATTCATCCATGAAGAGAACACCTCTCCAACGTGCCAGACGCCATCGAATGTGAGCATTTGCCCACTCAAGTCGGTTACGACAACAAACCGGAGTCAGGTCGAGACCCCGATGAGGACGACGAGCATGCAGATGAGCTTCCCTGAGACGGTTCTGACAGTTTGTGCAGAAATTCTTTGGTTATGCAAACCGATTGTTGCAGCAGCTGTCCAAGTGGCTGGTCTCAGACGATCTTGGAGGTGAACATGCTGGATGTGGAGGTCCTGGGCTGGTGTGGTTACACGTGGTCTGCGGTTGTGAGGCCGGTTGGATGTACTGCCAAATTCTCTGAAACGCCTTTGGAGACGGCTTATGGTAGAGAAATGAACATTCAATTCACGGGCAACAGCTCTGGTGGACATTCCTGCTGTCAGCATGCCAATTGCACGCTCCCTCAAAACTTGCGACATCTGTGGCATTGTGCTGTGTGATAAAACTGAACATTTCAGAGTGGCCTTTTATTGTGGCCAGCCTAAGGCACACCTGTGCAATAATCATGCTGTCTAATCAGCATCTTGATATGCCACACCTGTGAGGTGGGATGGATTATCTCGGCAAAGGAGAAGTGCTCACTATCACAGATTTTTTTCAGATTTGTGAACAATATTTGAGAGAAATGGTTATTTTGTGTATATAGCAAATGTTTCAGATCTTTGAGTTCATCTCATGAAAAATGGGAGCAAAAACAAAAGAGTTGCATTTATATTTTTGTTCAGTGTACTTATGACATGTTCCGACCTCTATATGAGTGAGGGTCTGAGCTCTCTTAATTCCATCGTGTCACCGGGCCCGGGTACAGGAAGGGTAATATGGTTCTTCTTATACATCCATAGGTATTATGCATGGGTGTATAATAAGAACGGTAATAATATGCATACAGTATGAGCGTTGTGGTTCAACCGATCTGAATCGCTTCCTGAAGCAGTCACGTGGTATCGGCAGGCAGCGAGGCTTCGTTTGTCATCGATGACGTCACTGGACCAAAACGATACAAACCTCGATACAAGCTTCACAAAAAGCTTCGGGGATTACTCGACACACGCTCCGAAGCCTCGGCGCAATATGTAACATCACTAGTAACAAGTTAAAAGACAAAGAACTCAAAAAAAGTCAAATTGTTAAATTAAAAGTCAGAGGAACACCAACAATCCTTAAGCCTAATTATCTGATTACTATGATATCGTCTCTACCAAATATCATTGCAAAGCATTCAGTAGTTGTCAAGTTGTTATTTATTTAAGACATATATGATATAATATAATGATACAATATTTGTTTGGATATTTTAGTCCAAATCAAAGTGGTGACCAAAGGGCTTTCATCAACATTAGTATTTTAAAGCCATACATATAAAGAAAGTAATTGGACTTCTGTTGTCTGCCTTATGTATTTGCGCCAATATTATTACAGATTTAAATGACTGTTTACTATCACCAGATTAAGGAACAAATCCATTCTACACTGAAAAAAAGAATAAAGTACTACTTTTTACTTCTTGTGTCACAGAACAGCTTCTATTTTAAGGTTGTCTAAATCTCCATAGTCATGACACACGCTTAAAAAACTTGTGTCAATATGTACCCACATTTATCCTGTGCTGGCACAGGACAGAGAGCTGAGGTTTGGTATTATCTCATCACCTCACGCCTAGACTACTGCAACTCCCTCCTGGCTGGTCTACCTGCATGTGCCATCCGACCTCTGCAGCTCATCCAGAATGCAGCGGCTCGTCTGGTCTTCAACCTTCCTACATTTTCCCACACCACTCCGCTCCTCCGCTCCCTTCACTGGCTTCCGGTAACTGCTAGAATCCACTTCAAGACACTGGTACTTGCATAACATGCTGCGAATGGATCTGGCCCTTCCTACATCCAGGACATGGTTAAACTGTACACCCCAGCACGTGCACTCCGCTCTGCATCAGCCAAACGACTCGCTGCACCCTCGCTGCGAGGGGGACCCAAGTTCCCATCAGCAAAAACACGTGGGTTTGCTATCCTGGCTCCAAAATGGTGGAATGAGCTCCCCATTGACATCAGGACAGCAGATAGCCTACACATCTTCCGGCGCAGACTGAAAACTCATCTCTTTCGACTCCACTTCCAGCGATAGAATTACTAACAAAGCACTGCTAACAGAGCACTTATATACTTATATACTAATAAAGGACTGGCTTATCTATAGCCAGTTGAGTAGCACTTGAAATGTTTGGCTCTATGAAACCTGATGTACTTATATGATTCTGTTTTCTTCAAGGTTGTGTCTTCCTGGTCGAATGTACTTATTGTAAGTCGCTTTGGATAAAAGCGTCAGCTAAATGTAATGTAATGTAATGTATTACATGACTAGCTAGTCCCTTGTATCCCAAAGCATAAGCGAGATCCCTTTGTGTCATTTCAATAAAAGCCTGTTAGCCTTATCCTTCACAACATCCTCCCCTCAGAGGCTCTCTTGGGGTCTGTCTAGTTATTAGCCACTGCTCCATATTTGTGAGGTGTCACCAGTAATAAGCAGGTAGGTTACCTCTGCCTCTGTCTGTCAAGTTGAAGATTGGACCCACAGCCCCCAGTGGGACCTTCCACCGCCAGCACCATCAATTAGCCTAACACACAATAACGCCACATGCCACAGGGAGATGGCGCTCCTGGAGCCGGGAGACACCAATCTCTGGCCTGAAGAATATTCTCTTACTTAATCACAGAAGGGGAGCTGCAAGGAATTATTGCACATGGTTGCATGCATCAAGATATAATGTACAATGTACTGAAACATTTAAAAAAACTGATGAACACTGAAAAAACTGAAGCATTGACTTTAATTACATTTTTTATGTCAACAAAGGTCACATCAAAATATTAGGTTAGTTGGAAGCAATACTATTAGTTTGAACCTATTTCAATTTAAGATTATCTCAATCAGTTTTTACTATTAAACAAAGTTTTGGTCATTTCACATGAGAGGTTTTTGTTAGGCCATTTATTTATTTTTCTATGTCCTATTTTCCCTTGCCTGAAGTGGGCAGAGGTAATTTACACGCCAGCTGCATGCAGTTGAGCACCAGCCTTAAAACATTTTCTAGCATATAGGGCAGCCTGTATGTACCACTGCAGCACATTTGATCAGCTAGAAGGAAGCCTTGAATTGGTTATCTACCATATAGGGGGCCTATAATGCCCTGTGGGGTTTTCACTTTCCTCTAGTGTGTTCTATAGGTTTTTTACGGTGGCCGGCAGGTGCAAACGCGGAACAACTGCCCAAAACGCATACATAAGCAGGAAACACCTGCAAATAATGAAATGAAAAACAAACAAACCCTGAAAACAAATACAACAGAAAAACGCTGCATTTACAGAAATGTTGCAAACTAAATACAACACACAAACCCCGAAAACAAACGCAACAAAAAAACGCTGCAAATACCAAAATGATATGCAAAGTCCAAAGCACGTACAAATCCCAAAACACATACAAAAAAACATTCCGGAAGTGCTCCAGGCCTCTAGGGGGCGCGCTACGTGGAACATATTGATGTCTGACCAGACATAGAGAGAACGAACAAGAGTGATGGAAATCGAGAGGAAAGAAAGTTAATTTAAGTGGAGAAAGATATAAGAAGGGAAGTTTTGTTTTAATACATAGAGCGTCATATTTATATAGCTAGCGTTAGCGTGCCTAACTACTACACCAGCTGAGGAGAGGAGAGCTTCACGTGAAGAGACGATAAAGCGAGGGAAGAACATTGTTAAAAGAGATGACAAATCAAGTGCAGGCAAATAACACGGGCCATAGTGAGTACCGCGGAAAAAGGACATTTGAATTCTTAGCAGTTTGTTTATATGTATATATTTGTGTATAGATGTTGCAACTATACAGAGCTTTAGCAATTACCTGTAACTATGGTCATGCTAATAAAGCTATTGAATTGAGAGAGATGTGACAACATGTGAAGAGGGACAAAGTAATGACAGGAGAGTAGTGTGCATTAGACATGCTCAAGAACAAATATAGAGACATTCAAGGAGAGAGAGAACACAGATTCAACGGTAAACATGATGTATCTTTCTATTTATTTAGCTAACCACTATTTAGACTATGTGTTTTTGATTAACTTGATTAAATGGATTTACTACATCAATGTATGTCTTTTCAGGCCGCCATGTTTTGTCCTTTCTGTGGCCAGCATCTGGGGACAGTTCAAGTGTTCTGTGGCTCCTGTGGCAAACATGTACAGTTTTTGGCAGAAGTTGAACACAACAGTAAGTTCACTTTTTTTATTGTATCTGTTTCAAATGCAAGAAATAAGGATTCAACACACTACTCTGTTTAGAATACGAATTGGCAGATGCATACACTAGTTATCAGCATGAAGGACACATTTTTTCATTGTCTGTTTATGTGAAATATGTAGAAGCCATCATTAAATTGTAGACCAATGCATGATTAAATACACAAAACAGCTTATATTATACATTCATAATTGTGTATTAGTTCTATCTTTATAGAGAACATTATATATTTAGAATCAGATTTTGAGACAGTGAGCGGCTGGGAAAGTCACACCGCCATGGACCACAAACAGTTGCTGACGTGATGTTTTCTTCATTCTCAGGCATTCCATAAGGAGGGTCAGGAACTCACGCTTGGGACCACCAGTGTTCCCTCCATCCTCAGTGTGTCCCTCATCATCAGTGAACTTAACTGACATCTCATGAGAGGGATCGAATGAGGCACCTTTGAAGCCGCGGATTGCTCCATCGCACACACTGGCTCTATTAATATTGAACCTGCTGCAAGATGTATTTGTTATTTTTGCAGAGAGTTCTGCAACAATGTGTGCCGCAGTCAGGTATTCTGTGCTGGGAAAGACAAAGTGATGTATTGTAATATTAAATGATGAAGCTAGTAATACGATTTACAGAATAGAATAGAAAAATTAAGTGGTAATAGTAACAATTAATACTTTTGCTCCATTGTGTCTTCTGGCTCAGACTGGCTATCAATAATGATAAGTGCATACACAGTTGTGTAGTTGCTGCAGTGAGAAGACAGTTGAATAATTACTTTAAAATACCTAATATATGCATGACAGTCATATTTACAAAAGGATGTCGATCCTCTTCCTGTTTTTTCAATACATTGGGTTCTAAACTGACAACAGCACTTTTGTCATACTCCTACACAATCCTTGTAAACATTTTAAATGGATGCAACAAAAAATAGCTGATCTTTGAAAAATATTTGTGGGTGTTTTTTGTATTGTCTTCACTAAGATGTCAGATGTTGTGGGTGTCATTTGGAAATGTATAAAAGTATAATTGTTCTGCTTCCTGGCAATGTTACCCACTGTGATTGGAGGCTATACAAACAAACAAATGTAAAATAAAGATACACAGCAAACAACTGTGTCACGATGCAACTGTCAACATGGTTTACCTGTAGAAGTGGTTCTGACCCGGGGCAGACTGGACCTCTTCCTGGAATGGGGTTGGTGCTCCATCCTATTTTTACCCAGGAAATAAGTGCACACAAAGGTATTTATTGATTTCATGTTCACAAATTCAAACCTACATGGTATAATTACATTTGTAATTAGTCTTACCCGATCAGACGCTGGTTGTGGGTGCCTGAGAGGTCTGATAAAGGTTAACAACAAATATATTCAAACTAATGTACTGTACTGTTAAAACATTCTGCTTCTTGTGGCACAACATTACGGAGCCCTGGAGGGTTCATAGAGAGAAAAATAAATAAAACGTGGCCACGTTTTACTTTCTCGTGCGCACGCTTTAGTAACTCGTGCGCACGAGTTACTAAAGCGTGCGCACGAGTTACTAAAGCGTGCGCACGAGTTACTAAAGCGTGCGCACCAGTTACTAAAGCATGCGCACGAGTTAATAAAGCATGGCCTCGTTTTGTGTGTGTGTGTGTGGGGGGGGCATTTGTTTATGATAGTATCGTTCGTTCCGGTGCACTCCGGCAGGACTATAGCACATCGAGATTAAGATTAAACACATTTCTTTCACTTGGGAATACACTTAACTATGGGGAACCAGATTTGTTTAAAGTACTGTTCGTGGTAATTTGAAAACAAATGCCGGTGCATGGTGTCGGATACACACGAACACGCACACAGAGCGGAGCTGAGCACACACACACACACACATCATGCGCCCCGGTGACAGGACATCTCCTTCATAAAACGAGGGAGAATACTCTGGTAGTTCGATGTGTGTATAGGTGTGTGTGGTTAAACGTAGCAGCCTCGATCTCTATTCAGCGGTTCTAATGAAGGGAAACGCAGTGCAGTAAACAGTAAAAGGCACAGCTCTTTGCAGCTGGTGCTGCTCTTCTCAGATTCTGCTGAGTTACACGTTACTGCCTCCAGTGCCCTGTACGACGAAGCCAGTTCAACAGACCCTGGACTTGGACATGTTCGATTTACCCGGCTTAACTAACCCTAACAAACGCGATGTCGATAAGCGGTCCTACGAAGCTGGTTATCAACTCAGTAAATCAACCAGGGTTTCTCTGTCCGGCTGAGAGCGCGTTCACATGAAAGGGACGGGGTTAGCAACATTTGACCAATCACAAACATGGAGACGCGTGCTGACAGCGCAGCGTCATACTTCATGAATGAATAGTGTAAATAGCAAATCCTGCTTCGTAGTACAGGCCACTGGTGCTGCAGAGATTTCATAAAGTGAAGGAGGTTTTCCTTCTATAAAACAGCTGTGGGCAGCAGATACTGTGAGTCACGGACAGGAATCCCTCAATTTAAATAAAACGAGGCCACGCTTTATTAACTCGTGCGCACGCTTTATTAACTCGTGCGCACGCTTTAGTAACTCGTGCGCACGAGTTACTAAAGCGTGCGCACGAGAAAGTAAAACGTGGCCACGTTTTATTTATTTTTCTCTCTATGAACCCTCCAGGGCTCCGTACAAAATAATATGTTGACAATGTTTTATTTTACCCTGCAAACTGTTGTCCATTCGTGGAGTGCTCACTTTTGGAACATTTGGAATGTCCCACACCTGCATACAACACACAAATGACTGACTGAAATAAAAATAAATTCACTTTAATTAAGAATAAATGCCACGATAAATCCAAACTGACCAAGGTACATTATATTGTTGACCGTCCTTTAACTCTCACATTAGGATTTACATTGAAGCACAATACACCAACTCCTCTCTGTACCTATAATATATCTATATGATGTCAAGAGTTACATTTAGGTGCACAGACAGTGCTGTCTCTTGACTTGCAAGCTCTTTCACCAAACAAGCTAACGCTAGCTGGGTAAATATGACGCTCTTTGTATCAAAACAAAACTTACCTTTTTATATATCGTCTTTTTCCACTTCGATCAACTTCGTTTCCTCCGGCTTCAATTTGCAGCACTCTTGTTCGTTCCCTCTATGTCTGGTCAGACATCAATCTGTTCCACGTAGCGCGCCCCCTAGAGGCCTGGAGCACTTCCGGAATGTTTTTTTTTTGTATGTGTTTTGGGATTTGTATGTGCTTTGGACTTTGCATGTCGTTTTGGTATTTGCAGCGTTTTTTTGTTGCGTTTGTTTTCGGGGTTTGTGTGTTGTATTTAGTTTGCATCATTTCTGGAAATGTAGCGTTTTTTGGTTGTATTTGTTTTCAGGATTTGTTTGTTTTTCATTTCAGGATTTGCAGCTGTTTCCTGCTAATGTATTTGTTTTTGGCCGTTGTTCCGCGTTTGCACCTGCCGGCCACCGTAGTTTTTGTACATGTAAATGCCAAGGCTAAAATCCCTGTTTTTAGATATGAGTTGTTCGAGGCAGAACCCCACACACATTCCTCACACACACTCCTGTATGACTTACCTCAGGTAGTCTCTCTAGGACGTCAGTCTCAGTCCTTCAGCATTTGGCAATCGATCGCCTTGAAGAGAGAAAGAAGATCAGACTGAACCTGCAGTAACTTCCCCTTCATCAACCTGCACAGAAACAACGTTTATATTGAAGGCTGAGACAAGTTTCCATTGTGACATGTTGACCGAGTTCAGATATAGTTTATAGTTTTCCCAATAGCCCTCCGAATTCAATAATTGACTCAATTCTGGACACTCTAACAACCGAAAAAGGTCTGGTTTCAAGAATTTACAATTCCATCTCCCGTCTCACAGAAACATCTCTTGGTAAAATCAAACAAGATTGGGAAGAGGAACTAGTCCAAGCAATAGATGATGATGTCTGGGATGGCGCATTAGCGAGAGTGAACAATAGTACGTCCTGTTCCAGGCTCAATCTTATACAATTTAAAGTTGTCCACCGTATCTATTACACCAACTCTAAACTGTCCAAAATATACCCAAATGTCACGGATACCTGTAACAGATGTCACATGTCGCCAGCAAACATGACTCATATGTTTTGGTCTTGTCCTTGCCTACAAGGATACTGGACAAGCATTTTCAAACACCTCGCTGAGGCCTTGGACGTGGTATTGACACCCAGGGCTCGCAATTAACGATGTCCCGGGGACCATACAAATTCCTACTGGGACACAAATCTATTTTGTCTGGGACTATTTCGGGACAGTGGGAAAAAAATTAAAAGTAAACTTCAAAATGGGTGTTATTTGCAAAGTAATTGGGCTGTCAAATCATAGAATGCATTCTACGTCATCCACTCTGCTGCTGACTGCTGCTAGACTCGCGCCAATGCAACGGTCACAACAGTTAAAAAAAGAAGAAAGAAATGCTGAGGTGGTTGAATAAACAGCCCCCTGATGCAAGCCCCAATTCTGCCGACTCCCGAAACGAAAACATCCCAAGTCCTGGTCATGATGCATCGTCTTCCACTGTGGTAAGTTTAAGTTAGTTGTCTTAAGTGTCAATGTTAGCTAGCGCTAGCGTTAGCTAGCGCTAACTAACGCTAGCAACTGAAGTGTGCCTTACAATGCATACAAACGTCCTAAAATGCGGTGTCATGTTCTTTTGAAGTTTGTGAAAATGATGTGAAATACAGTTGATCAGAATAAGAGGTGTAGCCGATCATTTTTGTATTTTCTTTGTCAGCCAGTGACCAGGCTAGAATCTTTAGCTGCAAAAACGTAAGGCATTTAGCTAATCATTTAGCTTTTCATCTTTTTTTAGTGTTTTAGTTTTTTTGGGTCAAGAACGTCAGTCAGATTGGGTGACGATTAGAAAGGGGGTCGCAAGGTAATTTTAGTTTGTCAAGAATCAACTCTGGTATGAGAATAATGTGTCAGTAATGTTCCAGTTGTTTTTGTGCCTGGGGGGTGGGTGGGTGAATGAGTGAGAGCAAGATGATTGACATTCATGAATGAAGATAGAAGATCAATTTATATTCCTATAGTACTACTGACTTGTGAGGATAACTTGTAATTAGAACTGAAAACAGATACATTTATTAAACTGTATTATGGAACTTCTGTTTTTTTATTATCATTCATACCACTTGTATTGCCAGATGGAGGGTTCCGATCATAAAACACAGAGACCATACAGCCATACCATATTGAATTGAAAAATACAAATCAGAATTCTTCTATGTTGACATGACAATGATAAATTAGTCTGGATATTGAGAAACAATAGAAAAACATGTCTTAAAACAACTCTCTTCCCTTCTACTCTAGGAGAGGCAACAGATCAGACTAATATTCATATGTTTAAAAGAACAACAAGTATTTTAAACTTACATGGTGGACCAGAGTCTATGGTGTGATGATTAAGTGACAAAAAAGTATCAAATTATATGTATTCTGCATAATTGGGGGGGCGACGATACACATTTTAATTTGGGACACATGCTGGTTATATCCGGGACAATACAAAGTAGAATTCGGGACAGTTGTGGGACACTGAGGAAAAAAGTTAATTTCGAGCCCTGATTGACACCATGTGCAGAAACTGCCATTTTTGGAGTACTACCTGGCCACCGAATGATGAGGTGGAAAACTAAAGACAGTATAGCCTTTGCATCTCTATTAGCAAGTAGAAGAATACTCCTAGAATGGAAATCCTCAATAGCACCTAAAGCATCTCTATGGCTTAAAGATCTAATGTTATACCTGAACCTGGAGAACATTAAATATAACCTTCAGAAATGTTTGAGTCTGTCTGGTGCTCTGTGATAGCCTACATAGCTGAACTTAAAACACTAAGTTAGGAAGAAAGGGGGGACTTTGAATGTATGTTTTTTATATACATGTATGTGTATGTATACGTGTGTATGTGAATGTGTATGTATAATATGTAAATGTGTGGGTATGGGTGTAGGAATGTACATATATATATATATATGTGTATATGTGGGTATACAGTTGCAAGCAAAAGTATGTGAACCCTTTGGAATTACCTGGATTTCTGCATAAGTTGGTCATAAAATGTGTTCTGATCTTCCTCTAAGTCACAACAATAGACAAACACAGTCTGCTTAAACTAATACCACACAAACAATTATATGTTTTCATGTTTTTATTGAACACACCATGTAAACATTCACAGTGCAGGGTGGAAAAAGTGAACCCCTAGGCTAAAGACTTTTCAAGAGCTAATTGGAGTCAGGAGTCAGCCAACCTGGAGTCCAATCAATGAGACGAGATTGGAGGTGTTGGTTAAAGCTGCCCTGCCCTATAAAAAATACACACCAGTTTTGAATTTGCTATTCTTAAGAAGCATTGCCAGATGTGAACCATGCCTCGCACAAAAGAGCTCTCAGAAGACCTACGATTAAGAATTGTTGACTTGTATAAAGCTGGAAAGGGTTACAAAAGTATCTCTAAAAGCCTTGATGTTCATCAGTCCACGGTAAGACAAATTGTCTATAAATGGAGAAAGTTCAGCACTGTTGCTACTCTCCCTAGGAGTGGCCGTCCTGTAAAGATGACTGCAAGAGCACAGCGCAGAATGCTCAATGAGGTGAAGAAGAATCCTAGAGTGTCAGCTAGAGACTTAAAGAAATCTCTGGCACATGCTAACATCTCTGTTGACGAATCTACGATACGTAAAACACTGAACAAGAATGGAGTTCATGGGAGGACACCACGGAGGAAGCCACTGCTGTCCAGAAAAAACATTGCTGCACGTTTGAAGTTTGCAAAAGAGCACCTGGATGTTCGCAAAATATTCTGTGGACAGATGAAACCAAAGTTGAGTTGCTTGGAAGGAACACACAACGCTATGTGTGGAGAATCCAAAGGGTTCACATACTTTTTCTTGCAACTGTACATATGTGAGTATATGGGTACATCTATTATTGTTATTATTCTTTATTTCCTTATCTATTAATTAATTGAAAATGATCTTTTACATTACTTTATTTTTACCTATATATGTATTTATGTATTTACTTTACTAGCTAGGACCGGGAGGGGGGGGGGGGGGGGGAGGAAAAATATAGACCGTATAAATGTAACTCATTGTGCCTGACTCAATAAAAAAAGAAAATATATAGTTTTGCTGGTAGAGAGATGTTTGTACAGTCTGAAGGTTGTTGGTTCACATTCCTCCTGCATTCTTGGTGTTTTCAAACAGAACCAGCCAGAGATGGCAAAAGTACACACATCCTTTACTCAAGTAGAAGTACAGATACTCATGTTTAAAAATACTCTGGTAAAAGTAAAGAAGTGTGGGCTTGGAAATTAAGTAAAAAGTACCCATAACTCCCAGCTGTTTTAAAGAGTACCTGACCTCCCTTTATATTAATAGAACAATAATGTCATTGTTAGCTAATGAATGTTTCCATGCTGAACAACGGCAACATGACAACGTTTTCATTGGTCCCTCTTCTTTAGAGAAGACCAGGAAATGACTCTAAATAATAATGATCACGCCACCAAATGCAGATTAAAACTAAAGTAACAAACCTGTTTTGAAAATGTAAGAAGTAGAAAGTACAGTACAGGTATTTGTGTTAAAAATGTAAGAAGTGAAAGTAAAAAGTTGTCAGAAAAACAAGTAGTGGAGTAAAGTACTGATACCAGAAAAATGTAAGTACCGTAACAAAGTATTTGTACTCCACTACTTCCCACCTCTGGAACCAGCATCAGTCTGAGTCAGTCAGAGCTTATCATAGCCTGAATTTATAAAAAAGTCATGACAAGACAAGTTATATAGCAGCCCACGTACGCACTTCACAGCTGTCAGAACACCAGACGACTTTTCACATCAAGTGGAGTTCTGTTCACCTTCCTCTCCCTCCTCCTGCATGGCTCTGCTCCTCTCTGTCCCTCTCCATGTCCGAGCACTCATTTGAAATGAATGACTCAGTTGCTCGGCCTGCCTCTCCATGTCACGGCTGCTGTGAGTGTTTTTCGGTTGTAGGGTTTGTCCCTGTTGCTGCCGAAGCTGGACCCTGCAAAAGGTTCCTGATTGTGTTTGCATGTCTGATGGAAATAGCGAGGGTCGGAGGCAGGCTGTCTCAGACTCTTTTG